AGAATTACTGAACTCAGCCCAGAAGGAGAGAGTGCTGTGGAGGGATGGCTGGTGTCAGATTGGGAAAGAAGGAAGAGGATGAAGCTATATCTGACCTCCTCCTCACAGAATCACCTGATGCTGATGGTGATTCTCCTCCTTCCACACCCACAAATCAGAGGAGGTCAGACACTGCCTCTGTGCTCATTTCTTACACTAAACGAAACCAGGTAATTGAAATAACAGCTCTGCACATAGTGATGAATGTTCACAGAAAGCGTATTTCACAGATTTTCAACAGACAAATGAGACATAAAACTAATATAACAAATTCCAACTTATGCCACAAAGTTTCTCAGTATTACCAGTTCACAAGCTTCTAGCAATCCTTGCTTCATAGCATGGGTTAATTAACTATGCAGAACACATTCAGATTATGAAGAAAGCTGGTTTTGTGTGTGCAACAGAACAAAACAGCCTGGTCCTCACAACTGTTGTTATACCTCTAAGTCCATTATTGCTGCCACTGAGCCAATCCATCTCTTTGGGGGTCTCCCTCTTTTTTGCTGTCCTTCCCTTTACTAAGCATAAGAAAGCAATCACTTAAAATTGAAACACAGGATTTTAAAGAAGAGTGGAGTGGCTGAAACTTCTTAAACACGCAGACTGTAGCACTGTTATATGTGAATAATCAGATTTTACTGGTAAGGTAAATCTTCATCCTATTCTAAATTTAGAAATGGGAAAGGAATGGCAGTTTTTTTTTCTTTTTCCAGTTTTTGTTATCAATCCATGAGATTACTGTGTAATTAGCATATTAATTGCTTCCTATGCACATTTTCAATAAATGTGACACTTTTATAGTTATTTTCTGTTTCTTCATGGTTTACTCATAATTACATTTATTAAAATAATTTCATCTACTAAATCTAGCAATATGTTTTTATTTTTGTCTTTCTTTTACAATTTCATTTTTCAGCAGTTTTGCTTTTTTTTTTCCATTTTACTAAAGTATTGGCCCCAAATGAACTTTTTTTTTTAATTTTAAGTTTATCCTTTAACAGAGATTGAGAAGCACTGCAATAGAGCATTTTAACTTCCTTTGTTATTAAGGAGCTCTGGTGGTATAATGGGTTAAGCACTGGTTCAAATCCACCCATCACTCTATGGGAGAAAGATGAAGCTGTCCACTACTGTAAAGATTTCCAGTCTTGGAAACCCTATAGAGTAGTTCTACCCTGTCCTACAGTGTGACTATGAGGCAGAATCGACTAGATGGCACTGGGCTGGGTATTGCTGGCAGTGATGGTGGTAGTAGTTGGGTAATGCTGAATCAATTCTGACCCACAGTGACCTTTTTTTTTTTTTCCCACAGTGACCTTTTATAGGATTTCTGAGGTTGAAATCTTTACAGGATCAGAAAACCTCATCTTCTCCCAAGAAGAAGCTGGTGGATTCTTGAGTTACCAACCCAATACGCATTCCACTCCACCACCAGAGCTCCTGGTTAGGTGCTATCAAGACAATTTGTGACTCATTGAGATGCCATGTGGCCGAGCAGAACTGCCACATAAGGTTCTCTAGGCTATAACCCTTATGGGAGCAGATCACCAGGTTTTTCTCCCACAGAGCCACAGGGTGGGTTCAAACTGACAACCTTTCAGCTAGCAACTTAACCACTGCAATACAAGGGTTCATTTACGTTTAAAAGACTTTATTTTATCATATAACTCTTCAATTATGGGCAAATATTTATTTTATATAGCAGCTCTGGTAGTGTAGTAGTTATATGTCAGGCTGCTAATCTCAAGGTTAGCAATTTGAAAC